GAAGTGAAGTGAGGACCTTTCAACCCCCACTATCCCCTCGGGTAAGTTCCTACTTTCTCTCTTTTGGGAGCGATGGCATCTAGCTCATCAATGAAGATGATAGCAGGAGCATTCTTCTCAGCCTCCTCAAAGGCTTTACGAAGGTTGCTCTCAGACTCACCAGCCAACTTGCTCATGATCTCAGGACCTGAAAGGATACAGAATAGAAACAATGACGACTGTTGATGATACGAACGATATCCTTCCTCAATTCCAAAAGAAATCAGATCTCTTATCTGGCCAGCCCATAGACAGGTGCTGTGTGAAAATGTGGTAACCTCTGCCTACTTTCTCACAGACTCTATCCCAGGATAGCCACCAAACTAGGCTGGAGAGAAGCCAAGGAACTCACAACACGTATTTCACAGTCAAGCTCTAAATGTCAAGATGACAGCACATGCTCTGGGACCTCTGGCCAGAGCAGGAGAAGCAGCACACCAGATGGACCTCTACCATTCCCCAGGAGCCAGCTGATCTCAGCCGGTCTACCCCCCAAACCCTCTCAAATAAATTATCAGACAAAATTTGAGTTCTCATTCTAACTTGCTCCCCCTCAATGTCTTCAGCCTTTCCACAATCTTTCTCAAGGGGAGATAGATCAGGGGGCACCAGAGCACAATACCTTCCCCTTGTTGCTTTTCTGTCCATAATGTACCCCAGCAGAATAAAGATGAAATATACACGAGGGCATGTGTGCAAATAAACATGTCCATGAGTTCTCTAGTTCACGAGACTGGATAGTGCTCAGCTCAGAGTAAGGTCCAGCCAAACACAAGGTGAACCAAGTCTCCTACCATTGATCAAGAAGAAGAAGGCTCCAGTCTCATTTGCCACAGCTCGGGCAATTAGGGTCTTCCCAGTCCCAGGAGGTCCATAGAGCAGGATTCCCCGAGGAGGCTGAGGACCGGTACAGAGAATAGGATTAGGTTCAGAGTCCTACCTTCCCCCAACCCCATCCATTCTAAAATGGTTTGACGGTGGCTCTATCTAGAGAGGATGAAAATCAGAGCTCGACCCTGACATCAGTAAGAATAAGCTCTCAGCATTAACTGCTAGGAAATCAGTTTACCTCAGACCATACTCACTCCTCTTATTAGCAGAGAAAATACGGTCATAAAACTGACATTTATGATTATACATTGCAAAGAAGACTAAGAGCACAGAAACCACCCTAAGAAACTCTAATGTGGCTAAGTCTGAAGATCCTGGGACTACAAAAAAGCAAGAGGCCACTAGGCCAAGGGCTTGACTTTGGACAGACAAGGGCCAGGACTAGCTTAGCCATCTAAGAAAGAGTACTGCCAGAGGCTCACTCATTCCTGTAATCACAACCCTCTAGGATTTACTATGATATCGGAATGCTTTTCCTACCACCAACCACAACTTTTCCTCTTTGAAGCTGTCTTTTCTGTGGCCTCATCCATAGGCTGCACATGGGAAATGCCCACATGGAAGATAAAATTATTTGTATGGTACATACTAGAGAAAGGAGTAATTTCATCTTCACTGTGACCCATGATATGCAAACGGTTAGGAATTACATTGCAAATCTGCAATTCTCAAATGTTTTGGATTCAGGACCCTTCACATCGCAAATTTCCTGAAACTTCTATTAGGTGGTACTATTATAGACAAGTTGACAAACTATGATGAGATTTGTTTTTATAGGGTCCATCAGATAAGAATGTTTTTTACACTTTTAAAGAACTGTAGTAATAAAAAAAAAAAAGATATGCAACGAAGAACGGACTGAATCTTCATTAATCACCAGCTGAGGTTATGTCCCACAGGACCCAGGAGGCTCACCTTGACACCAATTGCCTTAAAGAGGGCAGGATGTCTGAGGGGTAGCTCTACCATCTCCTTTATTTGAGCCAGCTGTTTCCTGCAGCCACCAATATCATCATAGCCTACTTCATTCAAGGATTCTTCCTCATCCTGAATATAGAGGAGACCAAACAAACAAACAAAAAAAATGGAGGAATATTAATATCAGCAAAAGTTGAGTTTCTCCAAACCCTTCTACAATCTGATGTAGAGAAATCTGTTCTATGATTTCCTCTAAGGGGATCCTGACTCAAAGAACTCTAAAAATCCCACAGCAAAGATTTCTAGCATAGCCTTTCCCTTTCACACTGTCCTTAGTATTATTACTGGGAAGGGCTCCCCTAAGACCTAAAGCTGGAAAGTCCGGGAAATGGGCAGAAGTCTGGATGCGTTCATCAACGTCACTTCTACAAAAATTATGGTTCAATCTAGATTTTTTTTTTTTTTAAAGATTTTAATGAGAGAGAGAGAGAGAGAGCACAAGCAGGGGGAGCGGCAGGCAGAGGAGAAGCAGGCTCCCTGCTGAGCAAGGAGCCCGATATGGGACTCAATCCCAGAACCCTGAGATCATGACCTGAGCTGAAGGCAGAAGCTTAACTGACTGAGCCACCCAGGCCTCCCAACAATCTAGATTTTAAAAATCACTGGTATCACATAGGTCTGAAAATAAATAGCTGATTTTCCCACCTCTGGAAAGGAGCTTAGTTCCAAAGAGCACCCAGTTTTATTTTATTTTTATTTTTTAGAGAGGAAAGGGAAGGGCAGAGGGAGAGAGAAAATCTCAAGCAGGCTCCACACCTAGCATGGAGCCTGAAGCAGGGCTCCATCTCACAACCCTGAGATCATAACCTGAGTCGAAATCAAGAGTCAGACACTTAAACAACTAAGCCACCCAGGCATCCCAAAGAGCACCCACCCCATTTTAGTAGTTATCACGTAACTGTCCCACTTTGTAATCGTGAAATTGGGTACTGGAATGAAGGAGAGAACTCACCTCTCGTTTGATAGGCTCCCCTTCACAGTGGATCACTGTGTCTGGAGCAACAATGCAGTAAGGGCTGGGATCTGTCTCCACTACTTTGAACTCTACAGCACGCATTCCACCCCGGACAAGGAAAATATCTCCTATGAGAGCAATTAGCACAAGTGCCATCAGAGAGGTCAAATACCAGAGCAAGTGAGAATCCCTCATCAGTACCTGGAGTCTAAAATGCCAAATTCACTAGATATTGCTCTTTTTCCCTTCCCACCTCCACTTTATTAAGCATCAGGCAAGAGGAGAAAGCTAAACTGTGAAGAGTCCCTCTGCCACTCAAGAGGACACTGAACAAAACCTTATGGGCTTCTAGCACATCAGGTTTTGGCCTCTGGCCTGAAGCCCATAAGGTTTTTGACTTCTGGGCTATAGGTAACCAAGCTTTCACAACCACCACCAATGGTCAGGCTGTGCTAAATATTAAATACACTTTGGACTGTGACACAGTCAAGTGCCCAAGTCCTCCTTCTGGGACAAAAGAGAAGAAAGCTTACTCTACTGAAGCAGGGAATGGGAGTAGGGAAAGGGGTGGGGGAGGGAGTGGGAGGGAGAAAGAGGGAAGGAGAGTACACATGAGCATGTATACAGAATCTATGTGTAAGCACACATATATGAGAATGAGATAAAGACATTCCAAGGCTTACTCCCAGCTAGCCCTACAAACCACCATCCTTAAGCTCAGTCCCTAAAATTATCTCTCACCTTTCCGGATGGGTCGATAAGCTTCCAGGAAGTATGGCTTAAGGTATACCTCGAAGAGATTGCCAGTGATGCCTTCCACCGTGTCATCAATGGGTAGCACATGGATACGTTTGCCGTACTTCACATCAGGGCACGGCTGGATGCTGAGGATGACAAGCAGACTCCACATTACCAACCACACTGCAGCCCCAAGCACTGGGCATCCGAAAGGGCCTGGAACAGAGAGCTGATGCGAGTGAAAGAGAAAAGGCAGGGATGGTTTTAGGTGAAGAGAGGCAGGAGGGTAGTGTGGGAGTGACGACAAAGGAGCAGCCAAGCAGAACTAAGACAAGACATACTCAAGTGGGGTAGTAGCAGGAGCCATTAGAAGAAGCTACTGGGGCTACTCACTCCTCATCAGTGAGCCAAAAGGAAGACCCACACATATAAAGCCCCCACAATAAAGAAACAGAAGAAAGGGTCTTCAGTGAGAGATATCCAAAGATGACCCATTCTGTATCAGTAATCCAGTATTACAAAGGGAGGCCTTAGTCAGACAAATGACAGGATCAAAGAAATAGAACTGATAAAAATCATCTCAGCCAGGTGATCAGAGGACCTTGACAAAGTGACTTAGCACCTCCAGGAAGGCTACATGAAACCTAGAATCCATGAAAAATAATCAGAAGTCTGAAATGTTCCTGGCCAGGTGACAGGTGGTTGAATAGCAGTGGCTAGTGATGACTCCAAGACGGGGAAACCTCTTGCCTCAAGTTATGTCCAAAATCGCTCAGATTGAAGCTATTCAGGGATCTGACTCAAACTATGCCTCTCTCCTACATTAACTTGGATCCTTAAAAAAAAACCTACTTGGAGTCCACCTTCTGTGCCCACACTTCCACCTCATTCTGGCCCCGACAAAAGCCATTATTTCAACATAACAGTGAGATCATTTCATAGACAAACACTCTCAAATGGCATCCTAAACCAGTGTCTAGCATGTGATAAATTATACCTCTGGCATGCATAAATAAATAAATAAATAAATAAATAAATAAATAAATAAATAAAGGAATCATGAAAATCACAGAAATCCAACTTGTCCCAAGGGTCATGCAGAAGTAAATTCTGAAGTCCCAGGGAGGCAGAATCAAAACCTAAAGACAGCCCTGCTGTATTAAGTCTTTCCATGGCTAGGGGGCTTCTGCTATTTGTAGCTGCCAAGGACTTCACTGGGGTCCCGTCTATAATTCAGGCTGTCTCTGGCCTCCCATCCCTCAGGGGCCAAGAACCCCACACACACCTGATGACATCCCCTAGGTGTACGCGGAGGTTGTTCCGAACAACTCTATTCATTCGAATCTTCTCATCAGAACATGTGTCATCAGAAAGCACAATGCACACGGCTTCCCGCCTCTTCTTTCCTTTCAGCAAGACTGTGTCACCTCGGAACAACTGCAGCTCATCCATCTTGGGCTGAGAAAAGAAGGTTAAGGCCTTTGGGTCACTGGGCCGGGGTAAGCAGCAGCCCTGGAGGCTAGAATACCCAGTAAACCCCACTCTATCTGTGGTCACTGCAAAAAAAAAAAAAAATGAGGAAAGAAACCTGGGAAAAACCCTCAGGTTAAGTGCAACAAGGAAAGATTGGACCTTGGACCCAACTTACCTGGGACAAAGACACCACACTGTTGTCCTCATTGATGGCTTCATCGACAATTAATCGATTGGGACGGTTCTTCTGTTTAAGAATGGCTGTTGATAAGTCATCACCTTTTGAACTAGAAAGAGAAAATGAAGTTAGTCCCAATACATACTCCAGTCCCAGGGGCCCCACCAGTCTCTTAAAACTCACACTTAGGAAAGAAATAGTGGATAAATGAAGCTGTCCCTACACCAGAGAGGTGAAATAAAGGACATTCAGCCAAAGTCATATAGAGTAACATTTAGCACATACAGTTCCCATTCCAGCAGCTCTTGGTATTCTGAGCACTGGTATCCTAGCTGTAAAGGCCCCAAGTGATCTCGCCCCCGAGTCAGGAAACTATGGCCTGAGAAGACTAAATAGAAGTAAAGGCTGAGTAACAATTAGAGAAATGACAATAGTCTTAGTATGAGATAGCGATTAGGAGAAGGGGCTCTGCAGTTAGACCTGCTGGATCTGAATCCCAACCCTGCCACTGCTTAATTGTGATCTTGGGCAAGTTACTTAACCTCTCTGGATGTTGATGTCCTCATCTGTAAAGAGGCGAATACAGTAGTACCTGTCTTAGAGGATTATTGTCTTAAGTGAGATAATGAATGCAAAATGTTCAACACAATGCCTGGCACATGGTATTAATGGTCACAATGTTTAGCACTGCAGAACAAAGCATAAGCTATTTCTTTGCTAACCTTCTTGGAGAATGAAGTGAGCAAGACAACTTCCTGTAGGGCTCAGCGAGGCCCAAAGTCCCACCAAGCAAGCCTGGGGACAATGAAGCAAAATCATTAGCGCTACCATCCTTACTGGCTAGACCAGCTGAATGCCAGAGCATTCTATATACCACAGAAATGCCAAGCATAATATCTGGGGAAAACAAAACAACTCAACTAACAGATCTGAAACCTTCAAAAAGACGCTCAAGCTCAAAAACAGCTTTACAAATCTCTGCAAAGACATATAATTTCACAATGGTGGTTCAAAAAGTCAAAACCAAGAAATGATGAGATGTGGAGCAAATCCAAATCCCTCACCCAAACCAAGGCTGCCTGAGTAAGCTCGGTTTAAACCCTCTAAGTAGTTTCAATCATTTCCTAGATCATTCACCTTACACCAACTTCTTAGCTCATCTTCAACCTTCAGTAACTAGACTCAGTGGGCTCTCCCTTTGAAAAGCTACCTTCTCTTACTAAGGCTCAGGAAAACCTGAACATTAACCAAAACAGGGAGACCAGACAATGGAGGAAATGAAAAAATAAAAAGGAATCTTTTCCATTAATTATTCCTTCACTTAACAAATTAGCAAGTATACATTACAGGCCAGGCACCATCCTATGATCTGGAAATACATCAGTCAACAAAACAAAACAGTATTCCTGTTGGATATATCTTCACAACTTACAAGAAAAAAAGATGCCTATACTCCAGAATACCAGCTAGGGAGTTGTGGGGTTTCTCCATCTTTTGGTTCTGATATACCCAACAGAACTACAAATCCCATTCATCTAACAAAATTGTAAGCTTTCCGCTGATCCTCTCACACAGGCTGCATATTTAATCATCACCTTAAAACTCATTTCCAAGAGTGGAGTTTCCTCAGCTTAAACCTGCCTCCTCAACCTAAAAGTGTAGCACTCTAGGCCCAATGATGCATAGCAGGCAGACTCTTCCAGTGCTTATCAACACCCTGGAGAACAAGCATGGTCAATATGGCAGCTGAAGGAAATTTAAACCCATCAATTCTACCCTCTCTCTCACACATCAAAATACCCTCCAAGGACTGCCCACCTTCCTGTTTAATCTATGGGACTGGGGCTAGAGAAAAATAAAATGCCAGATGCCCCTAGTCATCATAGTTTGTATTTGTATTTTAACCCCAAAGCTGCATTCTAGGAAAACTTATCTGCCTACCATTCCTGACCCTGGCAATGGAGATGAGTAGTATGCCCTTCCCTTAAGGTAAAGACCTTTACTTCCATATCTATCTACTAAGATCAAAGGAAGTAACCTCTAAAAGAGAGCTTCAGCCTGATCGTGGGCCAACAGCAGTCCTGGAGGCTCTTTGGGGACATCCCCCATTGTCTTCTGCATGAGTCAGGCCCTTTCCAGAACTCCAGCGGGCCACAGGGGACTTGGAGGGAGTTCAGGTAAGAGTCATCAAGATGACCTAGAGGTTAGAAACCATCTATGATGCCAGGTTCCAAGAATTTTGAATTTTTATTTTTAGTCTTGAAAATAAATGACTGACTGAATAACCTAAGAGAGTATTAATAAGTAATGGTCCTTTTAAACAGACATCCAACTAATACTTCGCCTCGGTTTAGAGACTTAAAAAAAAAAAGGGAACACACCTCAAAAAACTAAATTCTCTTTAAGTCAGGAAAGTGATTTGCATAGAAGAGTTTCCACATGATGGCTTTTTTTTTTTCCCCCAGTATCTAAAGCTCTTGATTCTAAATATAATGGGCAGATGGGCAGAGGTGGTCAGCTTTTATCTGATGCTTTCCTGAGGGATGGAGGGCCCAAGACTTCTCAAGACAGCAATTTGGGGAAAGGAGCGTGTGTGTTCAAAGAGTTAGGGCAACTCTAACCTTCTCACCAAAAAGGCTGAAATCGAGGAAGTCCCGCAAATTACCAACTGAGATTCGAACTTTAGCAAAAGCCCAAAACAGTACAGAAAAGTTCCTACCTCCCGCCCCCATTTCATAACATTTAAGAAAAACTGACTAAAGCTTTCTCATACCAACCTAAAGTACGAAGAAGGCCAGAAACGAAACGCAGGGCCCTCCCTCTCCCTAAAAGCTCCTCACTACTCAGGTCGTGAGGATGTCAACCAAGGGCCAGGCCGACCCAGCTCCAAAAAGCCGTCGTGAGCTTCCCTGAACTCGCGGAGTCTTCCCCGCTCCGGCCTCCGCCGGTCTCCCGGCTCCTAAGACCTTCACATGGCCCAAAGTCCACGCCCACCGGGCCCAGTTAGGGTGTCGGGCCCGCTGGGCCTGCTCCCTCCGGGGACCAAAGGCCTTTGGCGGGTAGTAAACCTGATCCCAGGTGGGCGCCCTAAGGCTCTGGGGCTCCGCGCCGGCAATGCGGTCCCGCACACCTCACAAGAACAGGACAGCGGTTCCCAGGGAGCCAATCAGGCCGGCCGGGCCTGCATGACACAGCACGATCTGGCCCAGGCCCCGACCCAGGCCCAACGCAAGCCCGGCCTAGGGGGCGCGCGGCTGCGCAGCCAGACCCAGACCGGACCGCGGCCCCTCATCGTCCCCCTTCTTCTCCCTTCCCTCTCTCCCTCCTTCCCTGTCTCCACCTCTTAGACGCGCCCACGGCCAGGCCCGACCGGGCCTACCCAGCGCGGCGAGTCCCCAGGTGCGCGCACCCGCAGCGGGCGGGCGGGCGCGCGCACACACTCACTCAGCTCCAGAGGCCATGGCGCGCGCCTCTCCCGGCCGGCGGCTGTGGCGGCCCGAGGGTAACGGCTACGAGGGGTGGCAGGCGACTGACTGGGCCGGGGCTCGGCTCTCCCGGGCAGGGGGCAAGCAGCAGCGACAAACCCGCAGGCGGCCTCCTTCTCGCTTCCTCCTAGCGGAACCGAGGCGGTGGGCGGGCGGTATACACTAGCTCCTGATCCGGGAGGGGGCAGCAGCAGCGACGACTCAAACGACGGCTGCAGACGCTGCGCTGAGACTGAACCGAGAAGAGCCGAATCATCGGAAGGAGAGGTGCTCTCACCTCAGCCAATCAGCGCCTGCCCTGGGGACTCCCGCCCGCCTCTCCGCGCCTCTCCCCAGCAACCCGCGGACCAGAGCCAATCAGGAAATTCGCTTGTGGCCTGGCTCCCGCCTCAGGGATGCAACACGCCTAGTAACGCCACGTCAATTGGCCGCAACGCTACGCTTCCTCGACGGATTGGGATTCGCGACCAATCAACGAAAAGGATGGCGCCAGATCGACTGGCGAAAGAAGAGCCTTTAATCCCTTGGAGGCGGACTCTCCCACTTGGCTCCAGTTCATTGGCTCTTGATCTTACCCTGCTGAGGAAGCTGGCACAATGGATTGAACCCATGTATTAGTCTAGTCCTGCTGCAGTGATAACCTGCATACCCATTTTCTTCCCAAACCTAAGGCTCCACCCTAACCCCTCTCTTGGCTCCTTCAAAACGCTGGCTTCAGCCATCCCTACTCCGAATCCTTTGACTAGCACCCCAGCTATTAATCCATTCCACCCTATTGTTGTGGCACCCTCTGGTAACCCTAATCCCATAGGCTTTACATTTCCTCACGGCTTGGAGGTACATGCTTCCTCTTACCACTGGGTATTTATATTAATGGTTAGAGGAGGGAGGGCACTCAACTCCAAAAACGGGTCAAAAGGCAACCACAGAACACAGTAGATTCAACAGAACCCAAAGCAGCAAGAAAATTGCATGCTGAGACTTGAAGTCCTTGGGCCCCAAATGCCAGCTAGCCCTGACTAAATTCAATAAACAGCTCTGGTATCATGCTGATTAAATTAATTTCTAGAATTTGGGATTGGGGTAGGGAGTCACTCAGAGACTCAGAGGTCTGCTTGTCCCTCCCCTCTAAGAATCAAAAACCTGCCCTTGTCCTGAGAGGCCTGCCCAGACCACCTTCCAGACCCAGCTCCACTCATTCTGTGACCTTGCACAGGATCCTGGGCTTTGAGACTCTGGCTTTTAGGCAACAGAAAGAACCAAAGCCACTGCAAGGATTCCTGTGGCCCTTTCTTCTACCCAGAACTCAATCTCATAAGGCAGATGATGTTGGGAGAGGGCATCTTAGATAATCAGCACTCAACTGAATCAGACAGCTGTGAGCCTTCCCAGTCAAGTATATGTAGTAGGCAAACGAGATAAATATGAGATTTTACTAAACACGATTAAAAGGAAAACAGGAAAAAAGGTGTCATAAGCAAAGTTAATGCCTTTATGGTGGCAAGGGAGCTTTCTCTGGAACCAGAATGGCAGTAACTAGGCCAAATTTTGCAGGACTACTACCAACTTCTCCAATGCCAGACTTATATAGGAATGATTAGTTTCACCCACATCCCCCAAGAATGGTAAAGCAGAAAACCCTCCCCACAGAGAAATGGGCCACTGGAGCCCCAGCTCAGGCTCTTTAAAATGTGGCAGCTACAGATCACAAGGCTCCGGCAGAGATGTCTGAAACTCCTCAAGAAGAGTTTCACGGTCAGGGAAACGAATCCAGCCCAAATAGGTTTCTAGGTACAGGGGGAGAGACCTGGAGAGCAAAAAGAGTGATGTCTAAGGGTGAAGGATAGGTGGAAGGTTGGGCAGCCATTCCCTCCCTTTCATTCATCACCCCCCCCAACAGACTCAAGGACTCCAGGATGCCCTCAGCCCCAAGCCCACAGGCCTTAGCCTTACCATGCAGCATTCTCCTGTGGCAACTTAGTTTGGGCCTCTAGCCTCCACCAGAGAGCAGTGGCCTCATCCCTCCGATCCATCCTCCTCAGAGTCTGAAGCAGGTGAAAGGAAGCATCTTGATTACCTGTAGCCCCACCCCAGAGTAGAAACGCTTAGAACTTGACAGAGCCTTAAGCATTTTATAAAAGGAGAAACTGAGGCCTAGAGCAGGAAAGTTATCTTTTCTACAGTCACACATGGAACCAGGAGGTTCCATTCCCAACCATTCCTATCCCTGGGTACTGCCTGCCCAAGACAAAGGGCTCAGCTGACTCTGCTTCTCCCCAACATACTCCCAGCACAGTTACGGCCTTTGTCTCTGAGGACATTGGGAAGACTGAGGAACTCCGGAGAGCCTTCACACACACTTGCAAATGTCTTCAAACCTGGGTATATCCCTAGGTATATACGTACAACCCCATTCATCCCTTTCTATCTGGGAACATCACTCTTCCACTGATCCCCAAGGGCCCCCCATGAGCCTCTCTGTCCTTGTGCATCTGAGCATAGCTAATGTCATGCAAATATACATACCTGGGCACATTTGCACACTGAGGAGGAAGTCCTGTAGGGCTTTGGTATCTTGGCCACTGGCCACCCACTGCAGTCCACGACTAATCAGGGCAGCTGCCCGAAGCTGTTGTAGTGTCATATCTGATACACACCCCTTCTCACCATTGGAAGCAGGCCCTGGGGACCGCCCCAAAGTCAAAAAGTGTGTCTCTGCTACACAGGCACCTAGTATGACAGAACCCCAAGTACTCCTCTTTCTCTTCTTATGTCTGGAGTCCCCCTTTTTTTTTTTTTTTTTAAGTCTCTTGGTAGGCTAGGACGCATGGAAAGGCAACACATTCACCACCCCCACTTCCAGAAGGGAAGAGGAAAATTGAGAGTCTAGATCACCTTGTTCTTTGTCCTTAGGAGTGGCCCGGAAGAGCAGCTCAAGGCACCTGAAATGGGACACAGAATAGGGGTAAGAAGTCAAACTCAGAAACTCTGGGGTGAGTCGGTAAGAATGGAGTTTACCAACTCAGGTCCCAATCAGCAAATTATCCCTCCATACTTCCCCTAGGATCCTGGTTGGCTTCCTGGGCTCACCGGCTAAATTCACTAATTGCCTCTTTTTGGGCCCCCAGCTGCACCCAGGCTTGACCCTGAAGCAGGTAGGTGGCAGAGACCCAGGATGGGCAGTGTGGTGACTCCTTGGTTCCTTTTCTGGCATCTTCCCACAGCTGGGGCATCTTGGGAAGCAAAGATGACGTGCGGCTGAGCAGCTCCTCACATACAGTCAAGGCATCCTGGGCTCGGCCTGCCTGGATCAGTGCTGCCGCTGCCTCTAAGAAGACCTCAGGCATAGAAGGCCCTGCGGGGGAAGGGGGTGGGGAGAACTGGGGTGGGAGGAGGATGCAGTGTCTTAAAGAGACATTAGCCACCATGCCCAACCTCTTCACCAGGCTCTGGTACCACACAGAGACCACCCATTGCTTGCTACCCTGGACCCTTTGCTCTGGGAACCTTCCTGGTCTGGCCTTCCAACTTGGGCAGACAGAATAGCCGAAGAAAGAGAAAATAGCAGTCCTGCTCTACTCCAGAGGAGACTACAACCCTCCCACCCCATTACAGAGAATCTTGAAGACATACCCACCTTTGGCTCCAAGCCATCCAGCACCAGAGCCAGCAGGTCCAAGTAATGCTCTGCAGCATCCTCTGCCCTGAGAAATCATAGCCCACGAGCTTCACCTTAGGCCTTTAGCAGGGTCCTCCAAGGGCTCTTAGCTAACAAAGGGATGCTCAAGGGCCCTGGGGAGTGGGGAGAGTGGGGTCTTGGGGCTCCAATCCTAGCTCAGTATGGATCTACCCTCCTTACAGAATGGATTTGGGAGGAGATTTCAGAGTTTTAAAGATCCAAGAGCTTAGTGTCTGGGTAAAGAGTCTTAAGTTCAGGTCCAGTGACAAGGCAGGAGGTAGAGGAGTGGAAACCTATGTCCTACCACTGACTCGTCCATACAGTTGACTTGCAAGAACAGAAGCAGAGTCATACCCCAGGGAAGGCATCAGAAATGGGAAGAGGAGCTCAGATGAGCAAGGCAGTGGAACCTCACCTTCCCACGTGTAAGCATCGGCTTGCTAGCAAGTACTTGGCCTGGCTCTGTGTGCCACAATGAAGGGGTGAGGCTAGGTGAAGTCTGCGGAGTAATAACTCTACCTCGATGAGAAGCTGGGGGGCTTCAGAACTGTGAGTGACATTCAAGGCCTAAAAGGGACAAAAAGAAAAAAGTATATCTATAATCTTTGGAAGCCCTATTTCCTTCTATTTACAATTTGATTAGTCTCCCTAACACAAGCACTTCAGCAATCCCTGTATCTTTAGTTCCTTACCTCAACCAACAGCTCCAGACTCTCCAGCTCTGCTGCTGTGTTCCCCAGTTGCCGATACAGCCTGGAGGCCTCCAGAAGCGGGGGACCCCAGGTTGATCCCTCCTTCAGGGCTGCAACCAAGTACAGCAGAGCTCTTTGTGGATTGCCCTAGAGGATTGAGAGGACACAAGCCTCAGCTACCCTCACAAAGCAGAAAGCTGTCTATAACACCCATGATTTCCCCAACCCACGCTAGGACTGTCTTTACCATTTTACGGAGACAGGTCCCCAGAGCCGTGTACACCTGGACCAACACAGGCCGTGGGCACAGACCTGAGGCTGCTTCTTGCAGGCTGCTCAGTGCCCTGGGCAGACTTCCTGTGATCAGCTCCCGGAGGCCTGAGGTCAATCAGGGTTTAAACTTAAAGAAGCCCATAGGGCAAGGGGATGATAGGGAACAAGAGTACAAAGAAGCTCCACTGAGCTGAATGGGACATGACAGGGAAGGTATGAGCCAAAGGACCCCTTAAGACAGGGAGTGGTGAGGGAGGGATGAGTAAGATTGCTAGCTGACCTTGGCGATAGGCAGAAGCAGTAAGAAGGACATCCCTTAAGCCCCGGGCATCCTGCAGGGTCAATGGAGCATCTGACTCCTCAGCTGGGGGGCTCCAAGTTTTCAGAAGCCGCAGCAGATTCTCAGAGGCCTCACTCTGAGGAAAGAAGGGTGATCAGAGGCTCTAAGCCTAGAACTACCTCTTCTCCTATCTCTATACTGGCTGGACCTTGAAATCAAGGGTCCTCCTGATTCCTGTTCCCTCAATTCTAAGGTATAGATAGCTATGGGGCGAGGATAAAGGGAGGAAGAAAAACTTGGGAGCACTGATGATCTATTCTAGCGCACCTCCTCATTCAGTATAAGCCCAGAACACACAGGGCAAGGACCATGTGTGGGTTACTGATGAGAAGAGTGAGGCTGGGAGATGACTTCAGCAAGGTCAATAAAAGCCCTAACCCTATCTAAGATCATTAAGCTATTTTTTTTTTTAAGATTTTCTTTATTTATTTGACAGAGAGAGACACACTGAGAGAGGGAACACAAGCAGGGGGAGTGGGAGAGGGAGAAGCAGCCTTCCCGAGGAGCAGGGAGCCCGATGCGGGGCTCGATCCCAGGACCCTGGGATCATGTCCCAAGCCTGAGGCAGACACTTAACGACTGAGCCACCCAGGCACCCCCATTAAGCTATTTTAAAAAACACTCAAGGGGCGCCTGGGTTGGTTAAGTGTCAGATTCTTGATTTGGGCTCAGATTATGATCTCAGGGTCGTGAGGTTGAGCCCCACATCCGGCTCTGTGCTTGAGTCTGCTTGAGATTCTCTCCCTCTCCCTATGCCTCCCCCCCATGCACGCACTCCCTCTCTCAAATAAATAAATCTTAAAAAAACAAAAACAACCACTCAAGAGAATCACCCCAATGAGGGACCAACCAGAGCAAGGTCACCAAGAGTCCCGGAGAAACCCACGTCTTCTGACCACCAACCCAGCAGCCTTTCCAGCACAAAATGATGCTACTGCAGCTGAGACAGGTGAGAGATTGGAAGAGACCCTTAGGTCCAGGTTACTTCCCAAATTACCTGGTTGCCATTCAAGGTCTGCAGCAGGAAGGTCAAGTCCCCAAGACAGTCAGTGCTTAGCCAGAGGGCAGCCTGCAGGCCAGCCAGGTGATGAAGGGCAGGCAGCAGCTCCAGCAGAAGGGAGGAATAATGGAGAACAGAGTCCCACAGCCCCCTGAGCCCACATTCCAGTCTAGGCCCCAGCTGCTCCTGGGTCTCCAGCACTGTAGAGAACACACATACAGCTAAGGTTGGGACCTCATCTCTGGTTTTCTTTTTCTGCAGGAGCCCAAAGGTCATAAAAGTACTCCTGGTCTAAGGAGCACCTGGAGGATAAGAGAATGGCAACTCTGTCCATGGAGGTGACAAATTTTATTGCTCCTCTTGTCCCCTTTGCAAGGGCTTAAACCCAGACAGTCTGGCAGGGAAATGGAAAGCAATCTCTGGCCCTCACCTCTCTCCAAGCCCTGTTGGATATCCTGTGCCTGGTCCTCAGTGAAACCCTGGGCCAGGCTCGCCCTCAGGGTAATGAAATTGCAGGTAACAGTCAATTCCAAGGGGAGAACAGGAACAGCCGCAGGGAGCCCTGGAGCAACACAAGCTGATCTCACAGACCACTTCCCCCAGAAAGATTCCCCAAATAAGATCCAAACCCAAAGATCACCTCACCCCAACCAAAATGGCCGTTTGCACACAGTTTGGAAAGGGCAGAAAATTCTCCAGATTGGACCATCTCTGAAACCACTTCTTCAAATATGGGGGGGGGGGGGGGGGGCCGCGGGCGCGTGGCAGGGGGAGGGCGGGGCATAGAGATTCACCTGCACCAAAGAGAATTCCACTCCAGTTCTGTCTGTGACTTAAATAGGATCCCCTGCCCCCTAGTAATTTTCTCAGTCCCAGAAATGCAGAAGAGGAGCTGGTCTCTGGCTGTGGAGGAAGGTAACTGAGCATCCTGAGGAGGATCCTGCTTACCCCGCAGACTATGGAGGAGTCCCCTGAACCCTTCCAGTGCATCTTGAGCCAACTGCTGTCGCCTCAGAGACAGACCCGAGTCCTGAGCCACCTAACAAACGTGGGATGAGGTATCACTGAGGATCAGTCCTTATTTCTCCCCTTGCAACAGTGGCAAGGGATGTCATTCTCCAGTCATTTCTGGCTCCTGATGGGGTAAGTCAAACTCAATCCCTCCCCATCAGCTGCGGTAAATCCACCGGAAACCCTCTTTCTGGTATTTTGGGCCTGCAAAGCGAGGGTCCCAGCAACCGTGTTACCTTGGCCTGTCGAACTAGCTCGTCATTCTTTTCCCTCCACAGGTTTAGGCAGCTGGCGTGTGGCACTGAGGAGCCTAGAGGGGTCTGGTGCGACATGGTGGCCGAGGCTGGGCCCGGACACCTGGAGGGGGTCGCTGAAGGGTAAGCCCGGCCCCGCCGCGGTCCCCACCCGAGCGGGTAGGGGTCCCTGCGCTTCCGCACCCCCCCGCAGCTCCTTTGCTCCTCTCGGGGTCCCAGGAAGGGCGACTCGCCCTTTACAGGAGAAATGGACTCTCTCCTAGACAATTTGGCGGCTCCCACCCCCGCCTCTTCCATCTCGCCTCTGGTTGGCCCGGCCGGCAAAACTCTCGGCTGCAGTTGGTCGTCTTCAAGAGTTAGTCCCCGCGGGAAACTTGAGGAAGAAACGAGTCCGGTCCCGATCGGAGAGGGAGGCTACGGCGGGCCAGAGGACGGGGGGTGTGTCTGAGTGGGGAGGTAGTACTTCTCACGGTTCGGCTTGCTAGTCCCTCGCGCAGGCCAAAACCTTGAGAAATCGATCTCCGTACCAGAAACCGTGTCCCAGCCTTTCCCTCGCAGCCACACTTCCAGGTCTGTCTAGCTTTGCCCCTCCGCAGAGGGCAGGCCAGCGCAGTGCATGCTGGGAATCGTAGTACGGCCCAGAGTCGCCACAAAAAACCCAGCCCTGGCACAAATTACCTCCAAAAGGAACTGAGACCAGACCAAGGCCCTTGGTAATCCAACCATCCTTTCTTTGTTCACCACGGAGCACCAACACGCTACCACATTTGCTCAGCCCCATGCAGTCTGCTGGCGGAATCGCCCAGGGCTTGGGCAGGCTTCACTGCTAAAGGTACCTGCCCCTTTCAACAAATGGACGCAGGAAATTTGGATATCCGTATGCAAAAACAAAACAAAACTGTGACCCTTACCACAGATAAAATCAACTGAATATGCACAAGCTGAACTTCATTAACATTAAAAACTCTTTTGCTACAAAGGCAAGATCAAGAAAATTAAGTCAAAAATGGAGAAATTATTTTCAGATTATTATATACCTCCTAGCAGACCAGTATCCACAATATGTAACTCTCAACGCTCAATAATGAAAAAAATTAAACTATTTTAAGACAAACAGAAAAATATGAATAGGCATTTTACGGAAAAAAGATACATGAATGGCTAAGCACACATAAAAAAATCATTAACCAGGCGCCTGGGTGGCTCAGTTGGTTAAGCGACTGCCTTCGGCTCAGGTCATGATCCTGGAGTCCCGGGATCGAGTCCCGCATCGGGCTCCCTGCTCGGCAGGGAGTCTGCTTCTCCCTCTGACCCTCCTCCCTCTCATGCTCTCTGTCTCTCATTCTCTCTCAAATAAATAAATAAAATCTTAAAAAAAAAAAATCATTAACCATCAGGGAAATGCAAATTAAAACCATGAGATAAGGGTGCCTGGGTGGCTCAGTCGTTAAGCGTCTGCCTTCAGCTCAGTTCATGATCCCAGGGGCCTAGGGCTCAGGTCATGATCCCAGGGTTCTGGGATCAAGCCCACATCAGGTTTCCTGCTCCGCAGAAAGCCTGCTTCTCCCTCTCTCGCTGTCTCTCGCTGTCTGTCAAATAATCTTTAAAAAAACAAAAACAGGGGCGCCTGGGTGGCTCAGTCGTTAAGCGTCTGCCTTCGGCTCAGGTCATGATCCCAGTGTCCGGGGATCGAGCCCCACATCGGGCTCCCTGCTCGGCGGGAAGCCTGCTTCTCCCTCTCCCACTCCCCCTGCTTGTGTTCCCTCTCTCGCTATGTCTCTGTCAAATAAATAAATAAAATCTTAAAAAAAAAAAAAAAAAAAAAAACCACGAGATAACCTGGCTGGCTCAGTTGGTAGTGTGCGACTCTTGATCTTGGGGTTGTAAGTTCAAGCCCCATGTTGGGTGTAGAGATTACTTAAAAAAATAAAATCTTTTAAAAAATATTTTTAAAAAAATAATAAAACCATGAGATACCATTACACATGTACGCACACAGAATGGTTACAATTTAAAAAATGCAGATAATGCCAGGGGTGCCTGGGTGGCTCGGTCGGTAGGGCGTGCAACTCTTGATCTCAGGGTTGTGAGTTCTAGCTCCACATTGGGTGTGGAGCCTACTTAAAAAAAATTAAAACATGGATGATACCAAATGTTGGTGAGGATGTGGAAAAACTAGAACTCTCATACACTGTGGGAATATAAAACATTATAGTTACCTTGGAAAATAGTTTGGCAATTTCTTAAAAAGTAAATGATAAGCTTATCATATGACCCAGCAATTCCACTCTAGGGAATCCTCCCAAGAAAAACAAAAACATATGTCTACACCAAGATTGGTATGCAAATGCTCATGGCAGCTCCAAAAATATTCATAATAGCTAAAAAAAAAAACAAACCTAAAAACAATCCAAACGTCCATTAGCTGATCATAGCCATACAACAGACTATGACTCAGCAATAAAGAGGCAAAAACTGATACATGCTTCAACATGAATGAACCTCAAAAAATTCTAAGTCAAAGTAGCCAGACCAAAAGACCACATATTTGATGATCCCATTTGTATGAAATGTCCAGAAAAGACAAATTTAGAAAAACAGAAAACAGATCAGTGGCCTACGGTGAAATTGGGGATCAACTGTAAACAAAGTATAGGAACTTTTTGGGAGTGATGAAAATTTTCTAAAACTAAATTGTGGCATTAGACAAGGTTTCTTACATATGAACACCAAAAGCACAAGCAACAAAAGAAATATAGGATGAACTGGACTTCATCAAAATTTTAAAATTTTGTACTACAAAGAACACGATCAAGAAAATGAAAAGACTAGGGCAGCTGGCTCAGTCCGTAGAGCATGTGTCTCTTAAATCTCAGAGTCAAGAGTTCAAGCCCTACCTTGGGTGTAGACACTACTTTAAAAAAAAAAAAAAAAAAAGAGGTGGCTCAGTCAGTTAAGCATCCACCTCTTGGTTTCAGCTCAGGTCATGATCTCAGGGTCCTGGGATCGAGCCCTGCCTTGGGCTCCATGTTCAGTGCGTCTGATGGAGATTCTCTCCCTCTGCCACTCCCCCCACTCACACACACTCTCTCTCAAATAAATAAATCTTAAAAAAAAAAAAAAATGAAAACACAACGCACGGAATGAATAAAATATTTGCAAATCATGTATCAGACAAGGTACTTACATCTAGAATATATAAACAATGCTTGTAAATCAAAAATTAGAAGAAAACCCAATTAATAAACGGAGAAAGGCTCTGAATGGACAGTTCTCCAATAAACACAAGAAAAATGCTCATTATCTTTAGTCATCAAGAACATGCAAACCAAAACCATGAGATACCACTTCTAACACCCACTAGGATGGTTAGAATAAAAAATAAATAATTGTACATAAAGGCATAGATGTGCAGAAATTGGTACCCTTGTACACTAAGAGAGAATATTAAGTGGTGCAGCAGCCTTGGAAAACAAATTGGCAGTTCCTCAAAAAGTTGAACATAGATGTACCATATGACCTAGCAATTCCACAGTATACCACTAGGTATAAACCAAAAAGAAATGAAAACATTATGTTCAAACAAAACTTGTACATGGATGTTCATAGCAGCATTATTTGTAAACACCAAAAGGTATAAAGAACCCAAATGGCCATCAATGGATGAATGGATAAACAAAATGTGATATATCCATGCAATAGAACATTATTTGGCCATAAAAAAGAAATGAAATACTGATACATGAGGCAACATGGATGAACCTTGAAAACATTAGGCTGAGTGAAAGAAGCCAGACCGAAAAGGATACATACTGTAGGATTCCATTTATATAAAATGTCCAGAATAGAAAATACAGTCAGAAAGCAGATTAGTGGTTGCCTAAGGTTAGGGATGGAGGAGGGGAGGGTGAGAGGGTGATAGGAAAATGTACTGACTTTCTTTTGGGTGTGATGAAAATGTTCTGAAATTGACTGTGCTGACAGTTGTACAACTCTGCGAATATACCAAAAATTACTGAATTGTGTACTTTAAATGGCCGAATTTTATGTGAATTATACCTCAGTAAAGCTCTTTAAAAAAATAATGAGTTAGTGTGGAACAGGTGCTTTGATGTCAATTAAGAGTCAGGGATAAGGGGCGCCTGGGTGGCTCAGTTGGTTAAGCGACTGCCTTCAGCTCAGGTCATGATCCCGGAGTCCTGGGATCGAGTCCCACGTCGGGCTCCCTGCTCAGCAGGGAGTCTGCTTCTCCCTCTGACCCTCCTCCCTCTCATGCTCTGTCTCTCATTCTCTCTCTCGCAAATAAATAAAATCTTAAAAAAAAAGAGTCAGGGATAAGAATTTTTAATAATATATCTTTCTCCAAAAGGATCTTGTAGTTAGATCAGGAGAAAAGGGAGTAGCCAATGGTTGGCAGACCAGCATATTTCCCTTAGGCTTCAGGAAAGCAGGCTCTCTGCAAAAAAAAAAAAAAAAAAGAGAGAGAGGGTGGAACCTGACACCCTAGGACAGGGTAAGGGACTGGAGTCTTGAAATCCTTCCCATGGGTGCTACGGATGAAATAAGGTCTTTTCTTCTCACAGAGGCACTGTGTGTTTGATGCTTTGGAATGGTATCCGCCAGATTGAAAGAGGCAAAGGGACTTTTTTCTAATTCATCTTTTAGTCTTAGCTGGGGCCTAACTTCTCTCTCATTATTAGCCTATTCCTGCCAGGGTTACCAATGTCCTATCCTCTAATTGCCTGAAACAGTAAACACTTCTCATCATCTTTCTGTTTGACCCATGTAGCACTAGAGACTATTAGCCAATAATAATTACAACTTTTCCTTTAGCTCCCACAGCAGTGAACGCCTTTCCTTCACAATCACTGCTATGCAGCGTGTCTTCTTTCTGCCAAGTAAAAGTGCTATTCCACAATTTTACATCTGTTCTTCTTTCATCTGTTTCATCTCCTCCTGTCTTGGACATTCTCAAACATCAAATCCCAGGCCTGATCCCTCTCCTGAGAGTCTCCCTGCACCCTCCTTTGATGGACATTTTCATGAGAATTTCATGCCAGCACTTCAATGTGACACAGTAGTGACGTGGATGGAGAGCACAAGACAAGCATTAAATGTATAGTTTTGGGGGTGCCTGGGTGGCTCAGTCGTTAAGCGTCTGCCTTAGGCTCAGGACATGGTCCCAGGGTCCTGGGATCGAGCCCTGCATCGGGCTCCCTGCTTGGCGGGAAGCCTGCTTCTCCCTCTCCCACTCCCCCTGCTTGTGTTCCCTCTCTTGCTGTGTCTCTCTCTGTCAAATAAACAAAATCTTAAAAAAAAAAAATGTATAGTTTTGGCTTCAAGTCGAGAATAATCAATGGGACAAGATGGAATGCTATGTCAGATGGGCCATTAGGTCTGATAAATGAGAGAACGCTAGGGTGGCCTCCACAGAAGTAAAGGGCAGAGGGTGTTCCAGAGTGAAAGAACCCAAGAGAGGAGGGAATACAGCACTGTTTGGGGTTTTAGACAGTGAGTCTGGGTACTCCATGATGCCTGGGCTTGTCTTTCCAGCCATCTCTGCTATCAGCCAAAGCATAAGATTTTAATAAAATATGTTACATGACAAAGAAAAATGGCAGGTGGGATGACAGGAGTGATTTGGGAAGAAGTAGCGTAAGTGAATTCAGACAACTTCAACCACTTCCCAAAGGTTTTCAGGTGTACCCAGGTCTGCATAAGATGGCTGATGTTATCTGTGCCTCATGGGAGGGGAGAATGACCCTCCCCCTAGTCCCTATAGGACAGTGGGGACTCCCCCACCTCTCAGACACACATATTTACATTAGTATTTTATTCTCCTTTGGAGGCCACCCTCCAAAGCAGGAGTTAGGAAGCAGGCCCCACTATGATTTTGAATTATAAAATAATAAAGTCCCGATGTCAGTAGCTCCTGGCTGCATGGTGGTAGGAAGTGTATAGCTAAGCCTCTCTTGCAGATGATCCAGCACCTATATAGGCCAGACTAGATTGTTCTCCAGCTCTCCCTGCGGCCAGAAGCCAGCATTAGCAGCCTAGGCTACCTCTGCTGGGTGAGAACTAGCTGCCTGAACCAGGAGCTCACAGCACCATCCACTCGCATCACCAAAGCTATGCCCAGGAACAGTCCCACGCTGCTCACAATAAAGCCCATGGCTTCAAAAACGAACCTGTAAAGAAAGGGAGAATTCTCAGGGGACACTGAGAGTAGGTCTAAAGCCTTTTCCTGAGACAAACCTGCCCACCCTGATGTTCATTCTTTCCTCCAAGCTTCACCCTCCCCAACACCAATACTTCTCAAGCAAATCCACTCACTTGGGGGCAAACACCTTCCAGACCATGAGATGCCTGCGGAGGATGGAGGCTGCCAAGGCACAGGCCAGAATCTAGGGAGGACAGGAAAGGTCAAGTTACTTGGGAAGGAGGAAACAGGTCAAAGGGAGGGTTGCCATAGGCCCCTGTGAAGAATGGGAGCAGTAGGAAAGTAGTGCATGTCAGTGGAAAAAAAGCTGGGTGAGGAGTTAGGAGACTTAACTCTTTTCCTGGCCCCACCATGACCTTGGGCAAGCACTATCCATCTGTGCTGATTACACTCAGGCTCTGCCTCCCAGGTTGGGAGGAAAATGCCAGTCACACCTTCTGCCTCTGAATGGAAGGGGGATCCGTGACCACAGCCTGGGAAAGAATCCTGGCCATCACCTCAGTTTTTCCAGTCTGTCCACTAATGGAGGAAAGCCCATATGCAACCAGCAGGGTCCAGATCTATCTTATAGGGGAGGAATCAATCCAAGACTAGGATTAAGGAGACCCAGGTTCAAGTCTCAATATAGCCCCTTGAGGCCATGGCCTTAGGCAACCATTTTGCTTATCTGTACTTCAGTCAAGGCTCTCTCCCAGGGTTTTGGCAAAGTATGAAAGAAAGAATGTGATGTACACAGATGAGGAAAGGGCACTAACTCCGGGATCTCTCCCTGCACCCACCTGAATGCCAAGGACAAAGAGGTACTTGAGGCCCAGCTGCAGCAGTGCTGCATTGAAGTGATGAGGTGCATCCCGGAGCCGCATCTCCATCAGTGGCTCCTCCTCCTCCTCAGGCCTGACTCTGGCTTCAGCTTCATTCCTCCCTAGGGGCTGCCACCTCTTCCGGGGCCCTTGACTCTCACAGAGGAAAGGCCAGAGCAGAAGCAATGGGCAACCTACTGCCTCAGAGGAAGGCAGGGCTAGAATCAGTGGAGGACCTAGGGACCAGGCCACCCTGGCCGCCAACCACCCTAGTTGACCGAGGCTCCAATTAGCATTGGCCAAGAGGTGCCAAAGATCCAACAAAATCACATCTCCCCACTCAAATCCAGGAGTTTCCTTTCCTTCCAGAAAGTCAGAGTAAACAATGGAAGCAAGAGAGGAATGAGGTACCTGCAAAGAGGAGATGGGAGGCAAAGGTGTTGGCTCCCACCAGCAGAGCAGGCAGCCAGGTGGAGGAGCCATGACCCTCTGGGAATCCCACGAAGGCTGCGTGCCAATGAATGGCTGGAAAGACAGGCTGGTGGCCCATGGAGTAGAAGGTCTGCGTGGCCATGAGGGCCCAAGCAGAGACTGCCTGCCATGGCACAGTAAAAGGACCTGGGGGAAGACAGATACCTCTTCACAGTCACATCCCATTCACTAAGCCATAGCCTACAGCCTCATGGTCATACACTCCTACTACTTCAGTGCTAGATACACACACATGCCCCTCACTCCAGCCTCCTTACATTCAGCACTCTGCTATTCTAATTCCCTCTTTGGCACTAAGCCTCCATTTCTCTAATCTGAACTGTGGTCCATCTCTTCCTCTCATATACACACAGCTCACTACATCAGGAAATGCACTCCATGAAGATGCAGCATTCCCACTGAGTCTTGGAAAAAAAAAATGAGTCTTGGAAAATGAGTCTTGGAAAAAAAATTAATTAAAAAAAAAAAAAATGAGTCTTGGAGTACTCCTGTCTCCCTCCTTCATGAACTTTGCTGGCCCTGAGAGCCAGTGACAGGGTTCAATTAGCTTGGCTACATCAGGAAGACCCTCCCAACTGTGTGAAGAATCAGAGGAATAACACCTCCCTGAAAACAAGAGGGGCCGACGTCACATCACTACCGTCCTTGGATGAATCAGGGCTGAGAAATGTATTTACCAGGGGTGGTGATGGGTATCCCAGCAGCAAGCAGATGCAGGAGAAGGAAGCTCTGCAGAAACAGAAGCAGGAACACAAGGCTAATGCGCTCTGCGTGCAATAGCAGAAGTGGGAAGGCCAAGAGAGTGAGAGCCATGACCATAGCAGCTGAGTAGACACTCCCCAGGTGACAGGCCGCCACAGTCAGGGGACCTTGGGATTTGGTCCTCTCTAGACGGCCCCGGAACGCCTCCTGCATATGTCGGTAGATCTGAGGTACCACATAATCCAGGTCAGCCCGAGAAGTGGGGGGCCCTGAGAAGGGAGTGAGGACAGTCCTGGTCCTTGGGGCACCCGTCGTAGCCTTCACCAGCACTGTCACAGGCCTCCAGAGCAGCAGTATGAGCCCTGAAGCAGCCAGCCCTGCCACAACCCTAGGCAGCACAACCGACGCCCCAGCAACCAAGGCCCGGAGACGCGGGGGTGCTTCATCTGCCCCCGACACCAGTGCCCAGTAGGCAGCAGTGCCCAGTGCCATCAAGGGCAGCCCCCAGCGCACAAAGAGCACAGAGGGCTCAGGGCTCTTGAGATTGCTGTAGCGGCGAAGCCACAGGCGCACGGCAGCTAACAGGGCTACCAAAGCCCCCACACAAGCTCCATACCACAAATTCTTGGCTCGACCACCCACCATGGATGCCAAGGGATTCAGCCAGGGAGAGGAATGGCAAGCAGGTGTCTCTTCAGGGCAGCGATGAAAAAGCCCAGCTAGCCTTATACATAAAAGCAACCCGACTCCAAGTCCCAGAGCATGTGTGCCATTGTGCCGTGGTGGGCCTGTCGAGGCCGAAAAGCAAAGGCGGGGTATTGTGAGCAGCTTAGGTGGCAGCAGCTTGCCCTCCCAATGAAGCTGGGCAATCAGGAGCAGGATGAGTGAGCCCAAAAGGAAGGGGGTGGCCCTGGCCTCAGCTACAACAAAGCTATCAGAGAAGAAAGCAGCAAAGCGAATGAGCAGGAATAACAGGACAGGCCCAGGGATGGGAAGCAGGGCTACCAGGGGCCTCCTGGACCCCCAGCCAGCCCAGGCTTTCCACAGAAAAGGCAGGAGTGAGCCTGCTGCAGCCATGGCCCCTAGAACCACTGGATCCAGCTTCAGCCCAGTAGTTGTCAAGAGTCCAGCACACACTATGGTACCAGCCAGACCACAGGCCATGGGTGTTAGGAGGGGGCGGTAGCAGAAGCCTGGGGATGTTGCCCACTGGGATACCAGCAGGCAAAGAAAGCAGGCAGCAGCCATGAGAGCAGCACCCCCTGCCATGCGGCCCAGAGAGAAACGAGCCCAAGACTGAATGCATATGGCCCGAACTCCCCGCAGGAACTGCTGCAGCTCAGTAATCACAGTCTGCAGTGCTGCCTCAGCCCCCTGGGGCCTCTGCAGGAGCCGCTGGTAGTCAGCAGAGGCCTTGGAGAAAAGGGTCTGCAGCCGATGAAGCTCCTTAACTTGAAGGTCCTGAGCAGCAGCTGAGTAGGTGTGAAGAAATCGGGATACCTGGCAAAAATGGTCAGAGACCAAGGGAAGACATCAGAGATATAAACCAGGACAGAGGCAAGGATAGGTGTTACCAAAAGGGGTATCTGGAAATCAGGGACTTGAACTCTGTCCAGGACAGGGAAGAAGGGAGGGATAATGGAAGGAAGACATGGCTATGGAAGGTGGGATTAAGACTGAACAAATGACAATGGATTGATCACTATGCTTCTCCTATGCCCACCCTAGCTCTGTCACCTGGAAGCCCAGCCCATCACCTACCTGCTGGGCATTGAGATGGAGAGCCGAGGCTTGGGCCAGAGCAGAGGAGTGAGGCTGGGAGTCTTCAACCTCTGAGAACAGCTCAGCCATTACCTCCCCGATGTTCCCAAATGGAATGGGCAGGCCCAGCAGCAGGGCCAGCGTAGGCACAAGGCTGATTTGAGGAACTATCTCCGGCTCCTAGAGGAAAAGGAGAGGGGCCAATGGGTTCACCACAGAGCTGAGGTCAGGATTTGGGAGGGAAGACATAGGGACCCGGGTAGGAAATGAGTGGGGGATGCCCAGAGTCATGAATTTGGGGGCCTAAAACGGAGGGAGCCACAAGAATGCTGTGATCATGACTCGGCTGAATACCGAGACCAGACAAAGCACACCCCAGGCCTCACCTCTGGTGGGGCACCAGGAAAGAGGGCTTTGGGACTGTAGAGAAAAAGTGCAGCCGAGATCTCCAGCTCACTGTCTCCTCCATGGTCCCCAGTCATGGTCATCCCATGGTCCCCAATCACGACCAGCAGTGTGTCATTTTCCAGACGCTCCACAAGTCCCCTGAGGGCCAGGAAATATGTCAGGAGGTAGGAATGGATAAATATTTTCCTGGGAGACCCATTCAGCCCCAGCCATAACTTCCATTAGGAGGGCCTAGACAGGGGTGCCTGGGTGGCTCAGTCGTTAAGCGTCTGCCTTCGGCTCAGGTCATGATCCCAGCGTCCTGGGATCGAGCCCCGCATCGGGCTCCCTGCTCGGCCAGGAGCCTGCTTCTCCCTCTCCCATTCCCCCTGCTTGTGTTCCCTCTCTAACTGTCTCTCTCTCTCTGTCAAACAAATAAATAAAATCTTAAAAAAAAAGGAGGCCCTAGACATTTGGCAAAGAGATACCTCTTCAGTCATGACCCTACTGCCCAAAGCCACATGTTTAGTTACTCAAGATGGATGAGACCCCTAGCTTCAGAAAAATGCCTAGGAAAGACAGAATTCAGGAGGAAGAAGGCTCCAAGATAAAGACTTTTTCTCTTGGGCCAATATATCCTAAGATTCTCAGACACAAACCCACTCCCCCAGCCAATATCCCACACTCACTGGATCACCTGGTCCATTTGGCTAAGTTTCTTGGCCATTTCAGGGTGATGAGGGCCATACTTGTGGCCACAGTGATCCACACCCAGGAAGTGAGCAATCAGCATATCCCATTCACCACTGTCCACTGTGAAAGGAAGAACACTGAGCACAAGGGACTAAGGCCCACTCCTCAGCCCCAGCCAGGCTCTGACACTATGTGAAGGGACACAATCCCAGGCCACTGTACCCATGGGAAGCTTAGAATTTGTGACCTGAAGCAGCCCTCCCCAGCTCCCAGTCTTAGTCAGGCCTGCATCTGGCCCCATGCTCACTGGTTGGATAGAGGTGTTCCAGGATGCCATTGTCCACTGTGTGCAGGTCTCTGACATTGAAGGATGGGAAGAAGAAAGCTTGGGAGAAAGCTCCAGGAAATAGATCTTTCCAGGTATCATCTCCCATGAAGACCACACGCCTTCCTGCAGGGACATGAGAGTGCGTTACAGCCTGAGCAAGAGTCAAGGCAGAGGGAAAGAGAAGAGGAAGCCCTTTAAAGACTTATCAGAAATCTCAACCATGCACTCAAAGGCACAGCAATTCCATCCAGCAACTCTTTATCCTTCAAGGCCTAAAATGTTCTGCCAGGAAGCTTTCCCTGATAACCATACTTTCGCCAATAACCAGACTTCTCACTCCTTGTTTCTACAAAAAGCTCTGCTAGTTCTCAGTCTCTGGCTATCTTTGCTACACTGTTTTTCCCGGGTATATGCTGCTTTTTTCAAGTCAGTGAGTGGACAGGGCATGGACCCTCTGCACTCTCCTCCAAACTTGTGAGAATACCAGACTCACACCTTCTCCTCTTCATTGCTCTACTGCCCCTGAGAGCTCCCCAAAAGTAAAACCAACACTCCATGCAAATTAGAAATTCCAGAAGGACAAAGCCCACACCTGCACTTGCTGCATGCAGGGCCCTGGTCTCTTTCTCTTCCCCCGTCCTCCCCCAGCATAGTATAGCATCCAGCTGAGCACCCAAAGTTCTGGCTCGCTGACTTCTAAAGAGAAAATATGCTATGGGATTCCTGGCCTCCAAAGGGGCCCAAACTAACCTGCACTGGCGAGTTGCTTCATGAGATTGTCTTCCACTATGGCATAGCTGGCAAAGTTACTGCCGGCATCGATGAAGGTAGGCAGTGAGCCTGTGGTGAGGGCCTTGAGGCGCTGCATGGTGGTGGTGGGGGGATCAGCCTTAGATTGGTAGAGCCGGGCATGGTGGGGTTGAATCTCCAGGATCCTCTGCAAGGAGTCCAGTTTGCCCAGGAAGGGCAGAGAGACAGGAGGCTCTCCAGGACTGTGTGAGGGCTGGGGCTGGGCAAAGTCAAATCGCAGAGCATCTATCAGCACCAACACAAGCCGAGAGAATCGAGAAGCCATCCAGCAGGCCCCAGGCTTCCCTTGGCTCCCCCATGGCAGGGACCCAGGGCCTGGAGGCTCTTGGCAGCTGCTATGGTTGGTGAGTTCCAAACGGGTGAGCAGGAAGCCACTGGTGAAGAGAGCAATGCCAGCGTAGAAGAGGAAGCAGACCCAGGCCAGGAAGAGCAGCACCGAGATCTTCTGCATCCTGCTGGTAGCGGGGAGGGAATTCATCACTGTGGGGTAAAGAACCAATGGATATTCTGGTCCCTCAATACAAAGCCCAGCTAGAATCACTTCCTCTTGGAAGCCTTCCGGAAGATAAACAGCCCCATAGCCAACCCAATACAATGTTCCTCTCCACCAGTTATACCAGTGTTTCTGAAAGTGAGGTCCGCAGACTATGGGCATCAACCTGGAGCAGCTGTCTAAAATGCTTATTTCCAGGCCCCACCCCAGATCTACTTAATCAGGATCTTTGGGGGTGGAGCATAGGGATTTGCACTTGTACTCCCGGAGATTCTAATGATGAAAAGAACAGTCCACGAGGGAAACTTATTCCTAGTGGTAGAATGCTCTCCGACAGTTCATTTTTCCACCTCTCTCCTTGCCAATCTCAACACCCCTGGGGTGGCCAGGGCTCGCAGCCGCAGGGAAACCCGGGCCGGACTGACGGCGCCGCCTGGTGGGGACCAAGAGGGCCAAGGGGAGGAGTCACGCTCCGCTTCCAGATAGCCAGGATCGCCAGGAGACCGGAGTCGCGACCTACCCCGCGCAGCCAAGCAGAGTCGCAGGGTCTAGAGCCGGTGGGGCCTCGCGGGGACCCACACGTCCGGACGGCTCTGCTTCCTCTGGTGGATACCCGGCCTTCTCTTGGGTACCCTGGCTTCGGTACTTGGCACGCCAGGCTGCGAGCTGCGGGGGATGGTTCCCTTCGGGAAAGGTGAGTGAAGAGAACGGAGTGCGAGCAGATTCTCGGAGACCCTGGCTCACCTTGAACGGCGCCCGGAAGCGCAGCGGCGACGCCTGCACACGGGCACCACAGACAAGCGCACGCCGGACAGAGCGGCCTGTGGGGGCCTCAGCGCCATCTGCTGGCGCCTCCGAAGAAGTTCGGCAAGAAGCGCAGGGCGGGCCACAGACGGAGTTTGATGAGAGATCATAGCAACTTAGGAGAATTAGGGGCAAGGAACTAAACTAAAAGAGCTCAGGGAAGCACTGGTCATTCTTGGTTAAGACTAAGAGCGGCCTTTTGGAATCAAACTTAGCTTGAATCCTAGCTCTGCCACTCACTAGCATTATTGGGCATTACCTCATCTGTAAAGTAGGGATAAGTAATATTTATTTTCTCCTTTTTGCTTAGCTGACACCAACTGATAGATTTTATTATTCCTCCTCTTCATGTCTTTCACTGTATCTTCCAACTCAGTAATTGAAAAAATAATCCAGTTTAAAAATGGGCAGGGGCGCCTGGGTGGCTCAGTCGTTGAGCGTCTGCCTTTGGCTCAGGTCATGATCCCAGGGTCCTGGGATCCAGCCCCACATCGGGCTCCCCGCTCGTTGGGAAGCCTGCTTCTCCTTCTCCCACTTCCCCTGTTTGTGTTCCCTCTCTCGCTGTCTCTCTCTGTGTCAAATTAAAAAAAAAAAAAAAAAGGTCAAAGGTGGGGCAACAGGCAGGCTCAGTTGGTACAGCATGCAACTCTTGATCTTGAGGTCATGAGTTCAAGCCCCACATCGGGCATAGAGCCTACTTTAAAAAAAAATAAAATTTTTAAATGGGCAAAGGAGGGGCGCCTGGCTGGCTCAGTCAGAACATGTGACTTTTGATCTCGGGGTTGTGAGTTTGAGCCACGTTGGGTGTAGAGAGTACTTAAATAAATAAAACCTTAAAACAAAAACATGTTTTTTAAAAATAAATAAATAAAATACAAATGGGCAAAGGATCTGAATAGACCTTTCTCCAAAGAAAATATACATATGACCAATTAACAGGAAAAGATGCTCAACATCATTAACCATGAGGGGAATACTAGAAATACCACTTCATACTCACTAAGATGGCTATAATAGAAAAGACAAATAACAAGTATTGGCATGGATGTGGAGAAATTTGAACCCTCATACACTGCTTTTGGGATTATAAAATGGTGCTTTGGAAAACAGTGTGGCAGTTCTTCAGAAGGTTAAATATACAGTTACCATATGCCCCAGCAATTTCACTCCTAAATATAAATCCAAGAGAAATGAAAAGCTTATATCCACACAAAAACTTGCACATGACAGTTCACAGCAGCAAAACAACCCAAATGGCCTTCACTGATAGATAGATAGATAGATAGATAGATAGATAGATAGATAAACAAAATATGGTATATCATACAATTGAATATTGTTCGGCCATAAAAAGGAATGAAGTACTGCTACGTGCTATTACATGGATGAAACTTAAAAATATTGAGTGAAAGAAGCCAATCACAAAATAGCATTTTATATTATTCCATTTACATAAATACATAAAGCTACAGGGATAGTGAGTTAGTGGTTTCCTAGGACTGGGGGAAAAGAGGCGTAACTGCTAATGGATACAGAGTTTTAGTGGTGGGGTAGGGATGAAGAGGAGATAATGAAAATGTTCTAAAACTGTGATGGTTGCACAACTCCGAATATACTACAAATTACTGAATTTACACTTTAAATGGGTGAATTGTATGTGAATTACATCTTAGGAAAGCTACTATTAAAAAAATTTATTTATTTATTTATTTATTTGAGAGAGACAGAGAGAGCATGAGTGGGGAGGAGAGGGAGAAGCAGGCTCCCTGCGGGGCTCAATGACCTGAGAGACCATGACCTGAGCCAAAGGCAGACACTTAACCAACTGAGCCACCCAGGCGCCCCTCAGTAAAGTTACTATTAGAAACAAAAATCCTCTCTGCTGGTTTCATTTCACAGTAAAGCCCAAGTTCTTATAGTAGTCCTACATGGCCCTACAAGTCTATACACCAGCTCTGGCTTCCCTCTCTGATTTATCTAGCTGCCACTTCTTTGCTTCCTTAACTCTGTTCCATCTACTGTAGCTCTTTCGCTCTTCCAGTTATAATGGCCTCAAAGGCCATCGCATTTAGAATCTCCAGTCAGCGTTACTCCCAAGTGCCCAAATGGGTCTTCCCCTCATCTCCATATCTAAGATCAAATTTAACATCCAGAGGCTTCCTGGAATGCTCTACTTACTGTTACAGATTACAGCCTCCTCCCCAATTCCCCACCTCCCTCCTTTCTTTTCTTCTATAGCACAACTCACCATCATGCGAAATACTAAACATCTTATTAATGATTTGTCCCTTCCAAATAGAACTTAAAACTCATTGAGAGGTACCTGACTGGCTCAGTGGGTAGAACGTATGACTTGTTCTTGCAGTTTTAAGTTTGAGCCCCAAGTTAGGTGTAGACATTACTTAAAAATAAAATCTTAAAAAAGAAAAATAAAATCTTAAAAGGAAAAACAATGCTCTCATTGAGAGCAGGGAATTTAGTTCTTCATTATTATATCCTTAGTGCCTGGCATGTATTTGGGGTTCAATAGTTATCAAATGGATACATGAATAAATTCTAATTCAGACATATGTTGAAAAATGTCATCCCCTGGGCGCCTGGGTGGCTCAGTTGGTTAAGCGACTGCCTTCGGCTCAGGTCATGATCCTGGAGTCCCTGGATCGAGTCCCACATCGGGCTCCCTGCTCGGCAGGGAGTCTGCTTTGTCCTCTGACCCTATCCCCTCTCATGTGTTCTCTCTCTCTCAAATAAATAAATAAAATCTTAAAAAAAAAAAAAAAATGTCATCCCTCCACCTCCATCCCGATGGCTCCTTACTTCATGAAGTTCAGGCCTCATCACCCCCTCCAGGATTGTTGAGGCCGCCTTCTTACTGCCCTTCAGTTTCCCATCTCTCCTTCAAATACCCTGTCCACATTGCAACAGGACAGACGTATCTAAAACACTAAAGTGACTACCTTAATCTTCCTAAAAGAAATCCTGGGAAGGGGGGAAAAAAAAAAACCCTTCATGGATCCCTCCTTACCCTAAGGCTAGAGTCCAAATTCTTCAGTACTCTATCTCCCTGTGCCGTGGACCTTGCCATACAATTACACACCCTAATATCCCACCCTTCAGCCTTAGCAAACTCTGAATGTTCCAACTTCTCTGGAACTGTGGGCCTTTGCATATTCTAGTCCCAAACCCTAGCCTGGTGAAGACATTAATTTTTCCAGCCTGAGCTCAATGGCAGAGTTGGCAGTCTTGTTGCCCACAAGCTGACATGTACCTCCCTCCAGGATCCCTCAATCAGAACTTTCTTCTATCATAGCACTTATCACTTTGTATCTGTTTTCTTGTCTGTCTTCCCTGCCCAACCTGAGTCTGTGAAAGCAAGAACCACTGGGTCTAAACTGCTTTTGTAACCTACATCTAGCACTGAGCTTGGCACATGGTAGACAGCATGACATTTTTGAAGGAATAAGTGTCTTCAGTCCCTGAAAAACCTTTAAGCATTCAGCAGTACTTATCCTGCCAGGGTAGTACTGTTTCCCCTAAAAAATCCCCCCAGGAGTGTCTGCTGGATGGCTCAGGCGACTTTTTTTTTTTTTAAGATTTTATTTATTTGAGAGAGAGTGTGCACACACATGCGAGCAAGGGAAGGGACAGAAGGAGAGGAAGAAGCAGGCTCCCCGCTGAGCAGGGAGCCCAATGCAGTACTCAATCCCAGGACCCCAGGATCATGAACTGAGCCAAAGGCAGATGCTTAAAAGACTGAGCCACCCAGGTGCCCCAAACAGTTTACTTTTTATCTTGAGGTTGTGAGCTCAAGTCCCACATTGGGCATGGAGCTTACTTAAAATAAAACCAATCCCCTCAAACACCTGCTCAAATTCACATCCCCATAGTTAGCAGGAGGGAGAAATACACTCCCCAGCTGGCAGTCAGTAGACCTGTGGCTTAATCCTTCCACCCTATCCCAAAGCTTCTCCTGAAGACAGAAAGGATGATTTTATTTATACGAGGTTCATTCATTCTTACTGGTGGAGGAATCAGCTTCCCAGACCTGAGAGGACTGGAGGATGGAAGTGGACATCCAAGGGAAACACTGGTGACTTTCCTAACTTCATTCCCCAAACAAAGAGGACAGTTTCTGGTTTGCCATTGGCAAGTTTATTACATGATTAAAGTTCAAATAAAAAAATAATAACAAAATCTTGCCAGGGAAGCTAGAGCCAGAGTCTGGGAGTACGGTTTCCCTGTCCCCAGCCTCCCTGGCCAAGCCCAGCTCCATTAACTCAGTTTGACGCGATCAAATTCCTCATCAAGACTTGCATCTGTGCCCTGGACATCTCTGCTGCTCCCACTGGAGACTGAGTCCTGGGCCCCTGGCACTGGGGCTTTGGTGAGGGCCCCATACACACCCATGGCCTAAGAAGAGGGACAGAGAGTGAGCCATGAGGACACATGGCAGAAGGCACAGCCCAACCCACCAATGACTAAAAAGAAAGTGGGGCTGGGTCCAATAAGGTTGTTTTCCTTTCTCTCTCTCTCTCTCAAGACTCAAACTTTAGAGTTGATTCTAGGAATCTTATAAACTATCAGAACAGGGTCACCCTCAGAATACCGGTAGAGATATCCACCAAAAAAAGAGACATCTCAAGAGCAACCCTATCTCCAGGGGTAAGGGGGGGAGGGTGTCTCATTCTTAGAGATTTATTCTCTACAGAGACTAACAGGAGGTCTAGGTCTCAGGGTACTCGGAAGGCCTCTATGGTGTGTAAGTTGTAATGGTGGTGATGGGGGGGGGGTCAGTTTCTAGCACTGGTGTTCTGTGCTGGGTCCTCAGGGCACTCTAACCTGAGCCACCATACTGCTGACATCGCCGGGGTTGGAGGGCAGCAGGATAGTGTTGGAGTCCTTGGCCAGTTTGGAGAACGCACTGACATACTGCTCAGCCACAGTCAGTGAGGCTGCTGCATCTCCATTCTGTGGCCACAGAAGGGATAAAAACACAGATCACAGACTTAGAGAAGGGGGTGGGGGCAGGGGGTAGGTGGAGGGGGGTAAAAAGAAGTCAGATTCCTGGGAAGAGGATCAGATCACAATGCAGATCACAATACAAGAGATCATGTAATCTGGCTCAATGGAACCCACAAAAGCAGGAACTTCTCCCAAGGGTAGATGAGAAAACCTCTTCCACTGTCAATTCCTGTTCCTAACTCCCACCCAGAGGCCTCTTACATGTTGTGTCAGAGCTGCAGCCAGGATCTGAATAGCTTCAGCCTTAGCCTTGGCCTTGGCCAGAACTGCACTGGCCTCTCCTGGAAGAAAAGAGACAAAGCTTTACTCATGAGGTCAGGGTACCTCAAAGCTCCTGTCACAGCACCAACCCTCAAAGGTCCATGCCCTGCTCCTCCCTCAGCCTC